GCCGTATGATGAGACCAAGAAAAAGAGCTGGAATAATTTATACATCATCCAATTGAAACAATGATATACACCATATCCATAAAAATATGGTTTATCCATGTGATCAAGACAATTTTATTTGCTGATAATATCTCTGTGATCAAGTCGTTTGCTTATTTATCTTTATACGCAGCATAGCTTTGCAAGATAAGGTAAAACTGTTTGGGATGATCAAATCGACAAGTTAATCGTAAGATAAGGCAAAGACAAAGCATCTCAGTTGAATTTCGCCTGATAAGTAAGAAAAGCTGAGACCTTCATGGCGGAGTTGTAAAAAGATATGAAGTTGGTGAAAAGATCGAGATATCTGCTCGTGAACACGGCCGCGAACATCACCTGCGATCGACCCGAGATACCGGCTACAGAGCGCGTCTTCCACATTTTTATCGCGAGGATAAATATCGCGATCAGATGCGCCAAATCCGCGGTCAGTCGAAAGATATTCATACTGCCAAAAAGACCCGCGTTATCGGAATTCGGTACCCTGAAAAGTTCAAATGGCTCAAAAGCAAAAGTGAAGCAGAAGACATACACGTGTGCAAAACGTTTATCAAAACACTAACGACTGAACATAAAGCGGTAAGAGCACGCTCATCTGAACAACGCACAATAATACCACTGCTAATCTAGTATTTGAGGGGGTCGAAAGCAAGCAATTTCACATAAAACTATTCAAAATTTGTTTCAAACACATAAATTCATTGAAACACAAAAATTTGCAACAGAGGAAAATTATAGTTCACAGTCGAATCGCTGTTGGTTCAAAATGACAGCCAGCTAAAACGCCACGTGTCATTTTGCAATTATCACTGAAACTGAGCGATTCGGTGTCAGATTTGAGGTGGCCAAAACAAATTTCAGTGATTTTTTACAATCTACCGGTACGGTATTTCCGGTACAAGCGAAGAACGTGTGAAATAAAACAAGAACTCGAATGTGGGGAAGTGAACGTCGGCGAAGAACACCAACGATTTTAAGAGCAAAGTAGCAAAGTACACTGTGCAATATAGCACTTCAAAAGCTTCATCTCGGCAATATTTGCAGCCTCCAAGTGGCGGACTCTGAATTAATTGTTTTGTGAGGAATCGATGAGAATTCACGCATGCTCGATGGCTGTCGACACTTTTCCATGAACTTTTTCAAATTGTTTCGTAAAATGTTCGGAAGGAGTTTCGTTTCACGTTTCAACCGTACGTCAATAGTTGCTCATAATGCAGCAAGTTCTCCATTCATTTGTTACTCTAAGCATTGCATCGATTGAAACCTTATTGCTTTATCATATAGGAGCGCTGTCGGCTGAAACCGATTCGTAGCTTGGCTCATTCACCTGCATTTCGAGCGAATTGAGTGAGGTGGAATGTGCTGTCGCAATATGGTTGTAAGAGATGCGGGCAAAGGATGAGTTTTAAAAGGATGGCATTGAGGCGATAAGTGCAGGTTCGCTGTTGTCGCCAAACATTTTGCTTACGAGAACGATAACGAAATTGCTCTTGGGGGGTAAAGTTCTCGGTGAAGATTGGTCGGAAATGTGAATGCTTTAAGGTGATCGATTTTAAGCAGATTCTCGTGATCGCGCACCTCTTGACTGCGCACCTCATTACTATCGAGTGCCTTCGTTTAATATTTCAATGTACACATAAAGTAATTCAGTTGAGGCAATATCACAGAGTTGACTAAAAATGGCGTTGTCAACGAATTTTCCGCATAACAAGAAACGAACACTTTACGTTGGTGGTTTCGGTGAGGAAGTGGACGAGAAGGTTCTGAATGCCGGATTTCTGCCGTTCGGTGAGATCGTTGGTATATCGATACCGATGGATTATGAAACTGGAAAGCATCGAGGTTTTGGGTGTGTTCATTCAGTGGTTATTTCTTTCATATCGCCTCCATACGTTCACCGTATACTGTTCGGTTTGATATGAAAATGCGTGAGAAGGATTATGTAGGATGCTCGAACTTGAATAGTTTAATTTGTCGAAATTTTTTGTGTGAGGAAAACTGAGGTATATTGCAGCGTACCCTAGCCGCGACTGAGCCGACCTAGAGAACCTCCTCGGTCATGAGTTCATCATCTTAAGCTTTTCGACTTTTCGATTACTACAGATTTGTTGAATTCGAGTTGGCGGAAGATGCAGCCGCCGCCATTGACAATATGAATGATTCGGAAATGTTCGGACGGACGATACGATGTAACTTCGCGCGTCCACCGAAGGCGAACGAACGAAGTCAACGACCGGTATGGGCCGACGATGAATGGCTCAAAACGGTATTACATATGTCATTCGAATTCAGCTTGGGGTGGTTTTGAACCTATCTGTGAAATGGGCGATGTTGCAAGTTTCAGTGTGAACTCTGGATGAGTCTCATTAGCAGTCTTCTTCAAACAGTTACTTTTGTGAATGTTGTTCAGTAGATAATGACTAAGATTTCGTTTGAGT